TTATATTAAATCGTAAATATTTTCAAGCTATCTGGCGTATTAATGGATGGTTAACGATTTATTCTCTATCGATATATATATATTTTTTATTATTGAATTATTTATTATTAAATTATAAATAACTTGTAAATTTTTTTTTCTTTTTTCTTCAATAGTCTATACAGATTTAAATTGTCCTATTCTCGAGTTTGAATGGTGTATACTGTAAACAGAAAAACGATATATCAACTAACCCAATTATCTAAGTGCCATTCTACAAGTGTATTTTTTTAAAAAAAGAAAAGAAAAGTAAAGAAACAAAAGCGGGACAAAAACTATAAGTTCTATTTTTTGACAATCCTTCGTTGATGTCAGCCAATTACAACCAAAAAATGTCATTCGTCCTTATTGAAGCAGAAATATCATCTCATAGAAAACGTTATTCTTTTATAAGTTGCACACTTCTGTTTCCTCTCTTTCTCTCCTGTCTTTTTTTCTTGTTTTTTTTTCTACTCTTCTGCTATTTTTTTAGCCACTTGTATCATATAAATTACAATTCTGATATTATCTATATCTATATTCTAGTCAAACAATCTTATAAACACAATTTTTTCTACGCGTAAAATGGTTGGTTAGCATCAAACATATCACACGCCCATTCAACTAATAGAAAACGAGATTAGAATGGATGTTACGCAAATTTCGCAGATTATCATAATTTGACAAGCTAGAATAAATTGCACAGTAATCTGAATTATTCTAGAATATCCTTTTACGTATTATTATAGGATTAATGGAATTGGAAAATCGTTAGCTATTTTACTGATTTAAATATCTTGTTTGCCTTAAAGGAATATTAAGTGAGAAGTAATATTTAATGTAGGCTAATATTTAAGTAAAGAAGTTTTTTATTTAGAGTTAAAATTTAATAAATTTACTACAAAAATTATTATTATTTTTATTTTTTGAAAGTTAAAATTTATATTTTAAAACTTTCTTTCTTTATTTTTTTATTTTTTTTATTTATGCTTGCATTTGTTTGTTAAAATTAACTATACGAAAATATTTATTCAATGGTTGTAGAGACGTGCTTAAATTAAATGCCTTTAAGATAATGGCTTTTATATCAAAATAAATAGCCTGAAGTATGTTTTCCCGTATCAAATATGATGTTTATAGCCGAAAATGCACTGGTTTTAATATTTTATCTTAAAAAAAATCTTTAAAGTTATTTTTAACATCACTTACGTCAAGGTTCGATGGTAACTTTATATAATATATACACACACAATATATATAAAAATTGTATGTGTATATATACCTATACATTTTTTAAAGAAACTTAAAAAACAAAACAAGTTTTTAAATCACATTACAGCATAAAAATCGAAAGAAATCTACGCAGATATTTTCTGTTTAGGACCCGTTGTTTTTCTTTAATATTTATATGATACACATCTTAAGCATAAATATTATTTAATAATCCCGGAGTGGAACATGTTGCTATCGATTGACATAAATGGATCGAACACCTTAGAAATTTGAGGCTAGTATTATGGAGAAAAGAGATAAGAGGCAAGAGCCAGGACAGGATCTTCCTTAATATCTACCACTATCAGCTTTCCAGACATAAATGATTTCTATTTATCCACTTTACTATTAACCAATGGAGTGGTATACATCGAGATATTACAGATTCAATTATTATGGATAATAGATAAAGGCGTCACTTATATATAAAATAGGCTATTTAGATATAGGTTATTATTAAGAATGTATCAAAAGAATTTTTCTCTAAATATTTTTCTAATAGGGAAATTTTTCTTTAATGATAAATAGCCACACGTCTGTAATTTTTTTTTCTTCTTATTTAACTGAGTTATTTGGAGGTTAATACCCTAAATCGCTTACTTTGCCAAATGGGTCATGAAATTTTTAAAAGTACTTTAACCGATCGATAGAGGTGTCCGCAATAAATACATTTAAACTAATTGCGAATATTAAAGAACTTAATTGAGATATTGAATAAGCCTAAATCGATTTTTAAACTAACAAATTTATCACTATTTGTATATATAATTATTTATTTTAATAATTTCTACAATTAAATATTCGTAGTTAACGTGGTTACAATGCAAAAGAAAAAAAAATTAGTGTAGAATTATTCAGACAACCTAAAGAAACTGCAATGAATAAACTAACAGCGCATATATATATGTGTGTGTGTGTATATCCCATTCGGATGACGTTTTTACATAAATCAGCGCTTCTTTTGAGCTATTCTCGAATGATATAACATCTAAGTTGCCAGCAACATAAAGCATAGGCATACTATTCACTAGGGAGAACAAAGCCTTCTCTGCATTTTAGCGAGATGTTCGCTAACTCTCGACTTCACAAAAAAGGAACTATAAAGTAAATATTGAATACTGAATGTAATTCAAAGAATTTAGATAATGTAACTTCACACTCCTTGCAGAAACACCCTAAAAATTCAGATTTGAATTTTAAATCGGAAATATTTCATCTTTAATAATTCTACATTTTTTTTTATGTCTTTACAAAATACGTTCAACGAACTTCTGTACTTTTCCTTAAAAAGAAAAAAAAAATGTTTAAATAATTCATTTTTTTAAGAAACAAATTTTAAATTTTGGGTTATTGTTTGTAGTGTTTAATCCTTTTTAATCCTTTCCATAGTAAATAGATTTAAGGTAGATTAATTAACAAGCAAAGTGACAATACTAGACCGACTGAGCGTGATTTGAAGCTATTACAATGAAAGGATTTAAATTTGTCAGCTTAGGGATTTATACATTCTTTGTTTCTCCTTCATTTCGCTGAAGGCAACAAATAGAAAGAGAAAATGACGTGACATAGAAAATACTCCATGAATGCCAAGGCGATTTAGAAGCAAAGCAAACGCAATGTTGATTGATAAGATTTGCAAGATTCTGTTTCAAACAGGACAAATGGCTCCAAAACCTCTTGCATGGTTTAAGCAGGATTAACTGGATGCAGATATATTCAATTTAATATAATGCCGATTTTCTTTTCGTCCTTAAATCATTACAGAAAAGTACTCGACGTTATAAATATTTTATTTAGAAGATTAATTTTTATTAAACTCTAAATTGTTCTACATGCCTTCAAATTATCTTTTGTATTCGGTT